CATGGTGTCGGGGCCAAAGCGTAACCGAGCAAAGCTCTGTGGAGAAGAGTTGAAACTCGGACCAGTTTGCATCTTGAAAACCCCAGCAACATTATAATACATCTGCTAAAGTAGTAGTATCTCATCTTCACACTGTCTTGTTATTTTTGTCTAAAAATTCTACGAATACTCTTCTTGGTGAGTTTTTGGTTCAGTATTTCTTTTTTTTTTTTCTTGCTATTGAACTTAAAAAGGATAAATTCTGAACTGCTGGGCTTGTTTTGTACTTTTTCTGTTACTTTTTTACATGAATTTAGTCAATTTAACGTGTGGGTATTTTTCTATTTGTGAAAAAACAAAAATGACCATTGAATTGTTATGCGGCTTTAGATTTGGATTTGGGTTTGGCATTGCATTCTAGATTCTTTTATTATTATCTCTAATTTTCGTATTTTTTTTTTAAATTGCAGAGCTTGTCCTCTGTATGAATGGCTTGGCGAGGGGTTGGGAAGAGAGTGAGTTTTCTTTTTCCTTTTTACTTCTTTGAATTGTATTGGCATGAAATTGGAGACTTTGAACATATGAAATTTCTGTTGCTGACAAATAAATTGGATGTGGCTTAAACTTTTTCGTTGGATAAGAATTTAATTGCATGTTGCTAACTAATGATTCATCAAGGTCTCATTATAAGTTCCTTTTTGCTATCTCTAGGAATTTCCTTTCCTTTTGTAAGGAAGTGCCTGAATATTAATATACAAATTTTTAGTCTTTATTTTTACATATGTGTACTGTAGCATGTGTTGTCGCCAATGAAGAGAGAGCTCAGTAGTTGTGTATTGCCAATATTCATATTGGCAACATTTAGTCTTTGTCTTCACGTGTATTGACTGTAGCGTATGTTGTCCCCAACAAAGAGTGAGCCTGGTAGTTGTTTTGCAAGTGCCTTCATCATTGTCTATCATGCTTAATGTCTTCCTACACATTGTTTACAGGGAATTAATGCCTGTCTGATTAGAGCTCTGGCTTCAGCACCTCTGGGACATGTAGCCAGGATAAATTCTGCATCTACTGTTGATCTTGCAGTAAAATCAAATCTTATTTCTGTTAAACGCAAATGCACACCTGGTAAGCTGAAAAGCCATATTTATGCATGCCTTAGCTTGTGTAATATGTATATATAAAACATATGGCATATGTATCGTCTGTAGAAGGTTCTATTTTAATTCTTTGAATGTACGAGCATGTATGTATGGTGGGTTAGTAGGCTTCTATTATGTGGCATTGCTTGAGTTAGGTAAGCCGCTTCTGTTACCCGCAGAGGTGTATCTTATTATGGGTTTTAGCAATGAATCAGTCACTCAACAGTTTCTTATCTCGTTTACTCTTTCACAGATGGGAAATGGTTTCCATTGTTGTAGTTAATTGGGTTTTGCAAAATATTGATAGAATTTTAAAAAATAACTGTGTAATGTGATTTCATGTTATCATATTCACATGAAAAATTTGCTATTGCAGAGTTTTCTTTCAGCTCGTTTCTATCAAGATCTAGGTATTGCAAAGTTTTGAAAAATGAAGCTTTGATCCGGTAAGTTGACTTTCTTGATTTTCCTTTTATTTACTGTGAATCTTTGAGATAGAGATTGACCAATGCCTTTCATTATTTTGAATTTACTCTTAAAATGTATGATTTTCTTTAAAATATTATTTCTTGTATTAGCTTGTTCAACAGTTTCTTGAGTAGCTTAATTATTGCTATAACTTGATGTGAATGTATTCACAAAGAGGTTGAGCATCTCATGTGGTAGCACGTTTTGCTATCTTCTTGTAAGACATTCCATGGAAGAATTTTTTATTCTTGAATTTGGAAATTGATGTTAAGCCGATTTTATTGATTCGAATTTCAAAATACCTGATTTCCGTATAATTTCAGTTCTTGAGTTTTGGGATTAAATGTGGCACCCTGGTGTTGCTTAGGTATTTTCATGCAAGTTCAGAATTGCTGGCTAGAAAGAAAAATGAGGAGGCGTTGGGTTTAAAGATACACAAGAAAGAAAAACCCAGAGGGAAGTTTGTCAAGAGGGAAAAGAAGACCCAACCGCCTGTTGAAGCTCCATATGTTTCTAAACTGAAAAAATCTAGCAAATCCTTTCAAGAGAAAACTGTTGAGATATTTGATGGCATGACCATTGTTGAGCTTGCAAAGCGAACTGGTGAGCGCATAGCTGCTCTTCAGGATATTCTCATAAATGTTGGGGAAAGTGTTGATTCAGAATTTGACCCTCTAAGTATTGATATTGCAGAGCTCATTGCAATGGTAACCTTCTTAACTGCTGACGTATTGAAGAAGTATCTTATTTGCAATTTAAAATACAAAACTCATGTGCATGCTCATATAGACCGTTGAGTGGATTATCAGTTCAAAACCATCTTCCTAAAACTTGTGTGCCTGCTCATATAGACTGTTGAGTGGATAATCAGTTCTAACCATCTTCCAGTATTATCCTTTTCAAGGGAGAGCTTCTTAGAATGGGAGATTGGTTAGGTTAGATAGAAATCTGATGATGGTTTCTCTTCTTGACTCAGAATATACTCTACTTTTATGCATTGTTCTTGCCACAATTCTAGTAATTTGAGATGTATATTGAATAACATATGATCTCACATTGTGGTGGTATTTGCTTTTAGTTATTGAATCTTTCTCTCTCTAATCCTTACCTTTTGTCTTGGGCTCAGTATGATATATCATGGTAAAGGCTGCTTTGGGACATCTAAGGACTTCTTAATGATTTTGCAGGAACTTGGAGCCAGTGTCAAGCGGATACATGCCAGTGAAGGAGCAGAAATTCTCTCACGATCACCTATTGTGACAGTCATGGGCCACGTGGACCATGGTAAAACTTCTCTTTTAGATGCTCTACGTCAAACATCAGTGGCAGCCAAAGAAGCTGGTGGCATAACTCAACATCTTGGTGCATTTGTTGTTCGCATGCCATCAGGGGCATCAATTACATTCCTTGACACTCCTGGTCATGCTGCATTTAGTGCAATGCGAGCAAGAGGTGCAGCGGTCACAGATATAGTTGTGTTAGTTGTAGCAGCCGATGATGGGGTGATGCCCCGACTCTTGAAGCCATGGCCCATGCAAAGGCAGCTAATGTACCAATTGTGGTTGCGGTAATAAATGCGATAAACCAGCTGCTAACCCAATAGAGTAAAAATACAGCTTGCTTCAGAGGGTTGTGTGCTGGAGGAGATGGGTGGAGACGTTCAGGTGGTTGAAGTTTCAGCAATAAAGAAAACTGGATTGGAATAACTTGGAGGAGGCTTTGCTACTGCAGGCCGAGATGATGAATCTTAAAGCACGCCTGGATGGACTTGCTCAAGCTTATGTCGTGGAGGCCAGACTTGACAAAGGGCGGGGCCCATTAGCCACTGCAATAGTAAAAGCAGGGACTTTGGTTTATGGGCAATATGTGGTTGTGGGCTTAGAGTGGGGCAGAATAAGAGCTATTAGAGATATGGTGGGGAAAACGATAGAGCAGGCAACACCGGCAACGCCAGTTGAGATTGAGGGCTTGAAGGGGCTTCCAATGGCTGGTGATGATATTATCGTTGTGCAATCTGAGGAGCGAGCTAGAATGCTTAGTGCAGGGAGGAAAAAGAAATTTGAGAAAGACAGACTATTGAAGATTAGCAGTGGAAGAGCTGAAGCTTTGGAGCAATCAGAAGAGTTGCCTCAAAGGGCTGAAATGCCAATAATTGTAAAAGCAGATGTACAGGGCACTGTCCAGGCTGTTACAGATGCATTGAAAACTTTAAATAGTCCCCAGGTATGTGTGAAAGCCAAATATGTTTGCCTTGTTTTTGGGGTTCTAACCCCAAGGTGTTGGTTGCTGATATTTGTTGTGCATCCCTCACAATTGGTACAAGTATTCTTTTGTGATAAGCACTTTTTACAGGAAGTCATATATGCAGAATTATTAAAGCATTGGCTTCTTGCCTCGCTATGCTGCAAAATTTTCCTGGTTTTGAAAATGAAAAGGAATAAGTAAAGAAGTGATGCTATTCATTGAAATTGCCCATTACAACTAATCCTTTTTGTTCTCTCATGTTGTTGTGCTTTGTTATTGATACATTCTCCAATTTCACATCCAGGTTTTCGTGAATGTAGTCCATGTTGGGGTGGGGCCTATTTCTCAATCTGATGTGGACCTAGCACAGGCATGTGGTGCTTGCATTATTGGATTCAATGTTAAAAGTCCGCCTAGTTCTCTTAGTATGGCAGCCACTCAAGCCGGCATAAAGGTACTCACCTCCAATTCCATTTAATCTCAATCTTGATCTTTTTTCTCTTGCAAGTTTTACGTTGTGGAAAAGTATGAGAAATTTTTTTCTACTATTTTTTTGGTGTACAAATAATTGATGTCGTTGTATTATACAAGCACCAGAATGGGAACTTTGTTGAACTTAATGATTTGTATTGCTTGCAGATTCTAATGCACAGTGTTATATATCACCTTTTGGAGGCCATTGGCAATATGATAGTGGACAAGGCCCCTGGCACTTTTGAAACTCAGGTAGCTGGGGAGGCTGAGGTGTTGGATATCTTTGAGCTTAAAGGAAAGAGCAAGGCAAAGGGCGGGGATGTAAAGATTGCAGGTTGCCGGGTAATTGATGGTTGCGTCTCCAGATCATCAACCATGAGGCTGTTGAGAAGTGGGGAAGTTGTGTTTGAAGGATCTTGCATGTCATTGAAGCAGGAGCAGCATGATGTAGAGAAAGTGGGAAAAGGAAACGAGTGTGGACTCGTGCTGTGTAACTGTGATAATTTCCGTATCGGAGACATCATCCAGTGCTTGGAGCAAGTGGTTAGGAAACCCAAGTTCATTTCATCAGAGAGTGGGGTTGTTCGAATTGAGTGCTGAAACTGCTTTTGCTAGTGAAATTTTCTCTGACATTGGATACAAATACTCGCCATTGTTGACTTGATTTGTTTGCCCCTGCAATTCTACATGGAAAATCATGCTACGCCTGGCCTTGCCGCTAGGTACCTGTGCGATGCGTTTAGAGATTAAGCAACTTAGGGATCAAATCCTTCCGATTTAGGGATATATCTGCGTAATAGCAGTTGAAATGTAATCATGAATTTGTCAATTTTGGGAGGCCATAGTGATTATTTATCCAAAATTTGTATACATGATTAACTTATCGATAACCATAAGGCAAACAACATGCCATTCACCTCATAGCTGCTCTTCAAGTTTTGTTAGGGAATGGGATTAAATTATGTATGTGGTGTATTCCCCACCTTCAAATAATATCATTCTATCACTCTTTCAACATTCGTGTTGATGCAGGGCCCAGCGAAGCCTAAACACCATTTTCCTAGATCACTGGCTCCAAGTTTTACATCTGATGCATAATGCAGAGTGGAATTTTTGGCATGGTTTATTGTTTGGATGCTAGGAAAATAAAAGGGAAAATTGTGGTGGGGTTTTCTGTGTTTTAGAACCTAAGGTATTTTATGGTATTTTTATTGTGAGAAAATTTTTTTGTTTCTGAAATATTAAAATGAAAAAAAAAATTATTTCAAGTGGAATAATTTTTACATGACTTAACAGAGAGTTCTCACATGTTATCCATACAGAAATTTTAAAATAATATTTAGCAAATTACATTTAAGTTTAATAAATTAATGATATTAGCATATGAGTGTATATTTGATGCATTTCATTATAGGCAAAAAAGCTTAAGCAAGAACCATTTCTAAGATAAGATGCCAAAGCATGCATGCATAGGGAATTTTAGGAAGCGAATTTAAGGAGGGCAAAGTTGGGCAAAAGATTGTGACTATTCCTTGCTTGTATGTGAAATGGAATATGAATTACTCTTCCACAAAACCATTTTTCTTCCGGAATTTTATTATCCAATAAAACATGAACACCGCTGCCGCCATAAGAAAATAACCCGACAAACTTTCCTTATCTTATCATGCTGGAACGAAACAAAAACAAGATTGGACCTCGTAAGTTTCGATTCCACGTTGTTCCAAAGGATATATATTTTTCACCAGCAAACAAACGGGGCCGTAACCGTTGAACATCCTTCAAACAAGACCTCTCCCTTCGACTTTACTCTGCTCGCCTCCGTCGGTGACAGAAGAGAGATGAGAAGACGCACCGTTTACGCATGGGGAGTTGCGGTTCTCTCCTTCGTAGTTTTGATGATCGTCACTCCCGCTATCCCTCAATCTCAAGAGTACCACGATTTCGCCGATCAACGCGATTTCTTCGGTTAATTCCACTTCTGTTTCCTTATTCGTCTTTACTTCAGCTATCGTCTACCGATGCTTGCTTTTTCTTTAAAATTCTGGTGATTCAAGAACTATGGTCAAGTTTTGTTACTGGGTTATTAGAAAAAGTACAAACTTTAATGAGAAATGGAATCAAGAAATGATTATACTTTTTTTTCTTTTTTGGATAAATTAGTTAAAAGCCATAATTTGAACCTCTTAGCTCTTCTCGTAGTTGGAATTTCTACCCTGATGGGTGCTTATTATTGTTGCCTTTTCAGGTATA